TTGCCGTGTTTGCCAAATTTCCTCTTGTGATTCAAAAATACTTGGAAGTCATGTCCTTTTTTTCCCCCCTTCTTTTTTAACTTTGCGTATCTAACACTTGATTTCGAAATTTTGATTCCGCTGTAATTCTTTTTTTTTTTTCTTCTTCTCCCGCTCTGCCCGTGAAGTTTTTGAATAAAAGTATTTTTACACTTTCCAAATTGTAAATTAAACGGCTTGGTAGGTGGTTGGAAATGGGTAGCGGTGATGGGAGGTTGTTTAAACCTACCTCTGCCTACTTAAAAATAGGCCAAGGCTCCATACACACACACACGCACCCAAAAAAAAAAAAAAAAAAAAAAAAAAAACGCATTTTTTCATTGCACTGTCAAATTGTGTCAATCCAATGGGCCCGGGAAAAATAATAAAACTAAAAAAATTAGGACCCACTCTGGTCGGTGTGAGCATATGGGTTATTTGCTTTGTTTCCGTTTTCCGTTTCTGCTACTCTCTCTCTCTCTCTCTCTCTCTCTCTCTCTCTCTCTCTCTCTCTCTCTCTCTCTCTCTCTCTCTCTCTCTCTCTCTCTCTCCAGCTCTCTTCCTCTCTCCCTCTCTGTCGCTCTCTTTCTTTTTTAATCAAGATATGTGAGGGGGCAGTGGGATCATTCCCAAAGCCTGTTCCACAGACTATTCAGGACTTAGTCTTTCTAGAGTCTAGACAGAATGGCCTAAACTTCCCTAAAGCATTAATAATTTAACAGTCGGTTCTGCAGGCTATTTTTATGGTTCAGGCCTCTGCAGGGGGGGGGGGGGGGTAAAGACAATTGCTGTCGCTATGCACTGGTGCTCTAAGCGTCAATAGCAGTTTCTGCACCCTATACCAGTTTCAGGATAGATGCAGACTATCACTAGACCGCTGCATTGCCCAATAGGCTGATGGCAGCTTCTGCAGACTATTGAGGGTTATTTACTTATAGGGGTAACTACGGCGCAATCACGAAAACAGTTTGAAAATGCACTTCAGGCATGCCCCCGAAAACAGTTTGAAAAAGCACTTCAGGCATTCCCTCGAAAACAGTTTGAAAATGCACTTCAGGCAATCCCGGGAACACAACACCCCCCCACGTGACCCACCAGACCCGAAACCTAGGTTATATACATTCACCATATTTTACCGGCCCTTTTGCATCAAGTTCATTTTCAAACTCAAACCCTGACTGCGCCCTAGTTTTCCCTTACTTATATTACCAAACCCCCACCAGCACTCCCCAGCCTCTTTTCCAGAGCCTTTCCTCCCCCTAGCCTCTTGTCCCGAGGCTTTCATCCCCCGAGCCTGTTTTTTTAATTTTTTTTAATTTATTTTAATACAGCTATATTCTTCTCTCATCTATCTCATTTTTCTTGCTAGTACTCATCTATCCCATCCTCTCACTAGTGTATGTGTAGTACGGGGGAACACCAACCAACCGGGATCTCTCCCCAGCCCACGGGGTAGGTTGGCACCACAGCAGTGGTGCGAGAGCAAGGCTGTACCAGTCCCTCATCACGGTGAAGAGGGGTGGGCAGGCATTGCCGATAGGCCGTGCTAGCGCCGAGCAATGGCCAGTCACTGCACCTGCCCCTAACCCCCCCCAAACCCCACATGGCGGTGCCTGTGATACCCCCAAGTCTCTTTTGTTGGACCTGTCCTGGCAGGCCATGCCAAAAATAACGGGGCCCATAGGAAGAAGCTAGTGGATGAATCTGATCGATATTCTTGTATCCATCCATTCTTGAACAGCAGTTCTATCAGCCCACCGCACTCTACCTTCTAACATGGCGGAAACAAAGAGGGGCATCATAGGACTGGTGGTTTAACTTTACTTTTTTCTTTTATTCTATAATAAATTTTTAGGGGAAATTGTTGAGATACCCCTACAAAAGCTGGGGTATTTCGCTAGATACCCCTAAAACACAAGGGTATGCCGAAATACCCCAAACTTTTGCATCTGCCCCTGTCCCGGTCGTCGGTGACTTCGCCATATGCCCTGGCCCTGGGCTGCAGGGGCCTGTGCGTTTCTTTTTCCGTCAGCAGGGTCCAAAGACAGAAATACCTGGGCATATAGACAAGTTGCCCGGTAGGGGTATATGCGAAAAGATGACAGGTCCAACTGCCAGATTCAGCCATATTGCCACTCATCCTAACCTTATTACTAACTCCCATCTCAACTCTCCTTGCTGTCATCGCCGGTCCCTTCCAGCCTATTTTACGAGATTTCACAATGTGGAGACCCAAAGGGAGAGTTCTGGGAAGGCGGTCGATCACAAGCCCACGAGCACAGAGAGTGTACATACAGCTAATGTAATAGACTGAGATCTAGCGGATCTGGACGCACAGATGCACCGTCGCCATCGCTGAAGTCCAACTGGTCAAGTGGATTTGGAAGCACAGGTGTGCCGCCACCATTCATAAGGTCCGACAACCACGAAAGGGAAGCGCGATGAAAGAGGAGTGCAGTAAGGACTGACTGGGGGAAAAAAGGAGAGAGCAGAGAACCATTGTAGACCTGGGTAGGTTTCCTTCACATGTCTTGATGGGGAAACCGGGAAGGAGGTGAACTGTCGCAGGAAGATGAAACATGTATTAGCGGCTGAGAGAATCGAGAGAAACAAGCCCTTGTAGAGGAAGAGGTATGGGTGGGTGGAGTTGGTTATGGGATATATCCCCTATTATTCCCTCGCTATCTGGAGACGGAATGATCACGAGAAACAAGGGATAGAAGTGACCACCGCCAGACCAGACAAGCTGGCGCAGGCAGGCGATACTAGGAGTTGACGGTGGATAGAGAAGACGAAGCACAAGTCGCACAAGTCGCACAAATAGCACAAGTAGCACAAGTAGCACAAGTAGCACAAGGAGTACCAGGAAGTCTCTCTCTAGAAGAGGAAGTAGTCGAACTGAAGAGGCAGCTGGGACATGGGTTAGGAAGGATGTAGGATATCCTGCTGTTGGTGCAGCATATAGAATTCAGGGACCACTCTCTTCAACTGGCAGGCCAGACGAAGGGTAAGAAGGGTGGAATGGGTGAGTCCTCGCCGTGAAGTCTTCCTCCTCTTTCGGCGTAGTCGGATGGATGATGGGAGCAAGGGATATATATTGAGCCTTATCGTGATGATCTGAAATGTTTCGTGTTCTTGCAAACAATCAGCGGTATGGCGAGCTGCTTGATGTCTCGACAATAGAACAGAGATGACTCCGCTGTGGTGCTTCGTAGCTGTAAGGCTAAAGGCTGAAGTTTCTTTTCCATTGTGGCTTTTGGTAATTAAATGAAGAAAAGAGATGTCAAAACTGAGCATGCAAACTCAAACACACCACTCAGATGAGAGCTATCACCGCAGAGTGCAGGATGGTGCTGTGTTTCTCCTGTGTGTTCCATATGCCCTTGATAGGCGAACAGAGACTTTTATCTTCAGCAGTTTGATTCACTGCAGAACTGCAGAAGCACACAGGATAGATTAGGAGGCAGAGCAGGGGTCTGCATCTTTAGTTGAAAAGACACAACAGAGTTCACGGCCTACCTGACCCTGCGAGTTTCTGTGTTCAATTCCAGTTTCTTTGTCCAGACAACAGCGGCAGGAGGAGGAGGAGCCCTGCGGTTCTAGTGGCTGGGGAGCAAGCCGGCGAGAGACATGAAAAGGATCACAAGGAAGTTGTCGAAGCTGTTGTTAAAAAGTGGTGGCTCCTCAAGTCGACGAAGGTCAAACTGCTCCACGCCTGGGACGGTATCCCGGGAGCCGTCCATTGATGTAATCCCAGAAGATCGAGAACCTTCATCCATCCAGTCTTGTGGTGAGTCTTCCGCCATACCCGCTGCACCACCACGACCACCTCTCATTCCAGGACTCCCAGATGACCTGGCTCTCCAGTGCCTCGTTCGCTGCCCACGACATATGTTCCCGACAATGGGGAGGGTTTCGAAAGTGTGGAGCGAAGTGATCACAAGTGAGATTTTTGCGGAACTTCGCAAAGATCTTGGGTTGCTAGAACCGTTTCTTCATGTTGTTGAGCAGAGGCCCAGGGATGGCGTCTGCTTCATTTACAGTCTTGACCTCTCCGCCAGTCGATGGAAAAGTGTGCCCTGCAGAGTCGGTAACACGCTGATCGACATTCCAGCCGGCAGTGAATGTGTAGTCATCGGGCACCGAATGATCTTTCTTGGCGGTGGCACGCAATGGCAGAGCAGCAACAATGTTTGGTGTTTTGATTCAGCTCTTGGCCGGTGGTTTCGCCTCGCACCCATGCTCACTGCTCGTTCATCGTTTGCGTGCGGAGTTGCGGGAGACCAAGTCTTTGCCGTTGGAGGGTATGGAGCTAATGGTGTGGCTCTGGCATGTGCAGAAGTATACGATCCAGAGACTAACGCGTGGCAGGTTATCTCGGATATGAAGGTGGCGCGAGGTGGTTGTCTCGGTGTTGAGCAGCGAGGACGGTTCTATGTCATCGGCGATACATTGGTAGGGGACGGCGGCAAGGTCTGCCGCGAGGCAGAAGTTTACAATCCGGACATGGACACGTGGCTTACATTGCAAACTAAGACATGGGATCTGACTCTTCCACCCTGCCCCGCATTTATTGACATCGATGGACCAATTCGACCCAAGACAGCGGTGTTGCAAGGACATCTGTATGCCATTGATGAGAGTGGTTTTCCTAGGCTACTTCACTACGATCAGAGAATGAATATCTGGAATATCGTCTGTTTGTTACCAAACCACAGTGGGGATGGAGCGAACAGATTTGCGATGGCGGCGTATGGAGAGGAGCTGTTTATTGTAGGTCGTAAAAGGGTGTACTCTGATTCACCCGAAAAGAGTGTGGAAGTCTGCTTGCCGCTGAGTGATGATGTGAGATCCTCGTGGCGTGTGCCTCGGCAGTATGCATACGGCAACTTTTTAAACGAGATTCGAGCTTGTGCTGTCATTGAATTGTAGTCACCAGTGCCCTGCACTATGTAGGTGTTGAAGCAAGGGCCAGATCGAGACTCATTGAGATGAGCGGAGTCTGGTTATGGGTTGCAGTACAAAGATGAGTTAAGAGTCTGGGGGTTCTGTACTGGCCATCTTCAAGTCAGTTTTCTATTCTTTCCCCTCCCCCTTTGTGCACTCGATTTCCCGTGATGAAACAATGTTTTGTCCCTTAGGTCGGGCGGCTGTCCCGTTGTAGTTTGGATTGATCATGGATAAACTGTGGTGACGGTGTGGTCGTTGTAGTTCTCCCAGCCTTTTGCTGCAAGAGCAAGTGGTACTCTCTCTCTCTCTCTCTCTCTCTCTCTCTCTCTCTCTCTCTCTCTCTCTCTCTCTCTCTCTCTCT